CACATTCCCATAAACTTGTATACAAATGTATGAAGTGTGCTTGAAATATTTTTCTTTTAAAGCATCAACGGCTGCTCTCATCAATTTTCATGCTACTGATGTGTGACTGGTTAAAAGCATATTTGTGAATGTGATTGATGAACTGTTGCAATCTAAATGCACTTAAAACTTGTGTTGTTTATGAAGCAGTAACAAATGATGAATGGGTGACCAGCAGTTTTATTGCATGCAAATCTTTTCTCTTTGAAGATAATATTATGCATTATACCAGTTCATTTTTTTATATTTGTATTGATATATTATATTGATAAAATAATTTACATCTCAATTGATATATATCAGTTATTGATAAAATAATTTACATCTCAATTGATATATATCAGTTAAAATTGTCTCAATGTTACCAATGAGCTCAAACCCGTAAGTACTACTAGGCAGCAAATGAATTCAAACCCCTGATTGCTTACATTCTTTAAATTTCTTTTGTTTGTTTTTCCAGGGCACCAACATAGTATAGGTCACATGGCTTGAAACAGAAAAGATGATTTTGGCTTACCTCTGATGTTACAACCTTAAAAGCATTACCAGCAAAACTATCTCATCTACTCCAGGAGCTAAGAGATGCATAGTCTCACATTATTCAAACCTTTGTTTCTTACGATGATGCAGGGATAAACGGTGGCTGCAATTCTTACACCTCAACTACTAAGGGCAACCCCTCTGCCTCAAAGCAAATGAACTCGACCCCTGAGTGCTTTTTAAGTCAGTCAATAAACATTTGTTTTGCTTAATTTGACTGGTTAAATGTTTCTGATCACAGCCATTATATATTTTTTTCCATTATATACTAACCAAAGAAGATATTATTGCCCTGTAACTTATATACAGAATCCTCCTCACTCAATAGTGTGTGTTGCTGATCAGACAGGACGTAATGAGGTTTCTTAGTTTGACATAGCTATGATGTTGCTTTCATTGATTGAGCATAAGCCTTTGATTCCTTTCACTTATCCAGCTAAGACTGGTAGACAAATTCTAATTAATTTGTGAAAATACTTTAAAACTGTAGGATACCCAGTCTGGTGTATAGGGATTTAGTTTTATAGCTTTTATACTTCCTATAATGGGATTTATTCCCACTCATTGTTTCAATAATCCATAAAATTTTACTATATGAGCCGCGTCACGACAAAACCAACATAATGGGTTTGCGACCAGCATGGATCCAGACCAGCCTGCGCATCCGCGCAGTCTGATCAGGATCCATGCTGTTCGCTTACAAACCCTTTAACAAGTAGAAAGACTGATAGCCCTGATCAGACTGTGCGGATGCGCAGGCTGGTCTGGATCCATGCTGGTCGCAAACCCATTATGTTGGTTTTGTCTTGACGTGGCTCATATACTGATTTCTAGACTGATTTATATGTAAATATAGAGGTGATGTGACATTGGAGAAAACAACTTCTCCCAATATATTGAAACCTTTAAACTATCAGAAATGATATGTTATTAAATGTTCTCACTTACCTACTGTATATTTATATATGCATTTGTCTGTACTTAGAAATAAAATGTTGCTTTGAGCTTTGGTTATGTGATCCAATTTTTTAGATTTGTGATCATCATGAACCATGGCAATATATTTTAAGGTTTTGCGGGGGAAAAAGTCTAACATTGTGTCAAGCAAATCTGACTTTTTAGCCTGAACAAACAGATTAGTCTCACAAATTTTTATTTAATTTAAAATGATGAACTTACAAACTTATCTTAATCAGTGGCAATGGTAGTGGACAATTCAAGGGCTTGATGCAAAACAGTTGTATCCCCTTTATATCAAGGGTTGAAAGCGAAACTGTTGTATTGAAGAGTGCTTCTTTATTGCACACAATTTAATACTGCAGTTTTGCAGTCAACCCACGATATCAATTACAAGTTATTACTGTCTCACAGGGATTTGGCTTCAGATATTGTTGAATGTTATAACTTAAAATCTAACAAAACCCTTCTGTTAATAAATTACTTTAATAACTTTAAACAGAATTTATTTCTGTAAATAAATAACTTCAATAAGTTTAAATAGAATTTATTTAGGTACAATTGTGTAGGAAGCTATATTTTGCTTAGTAACACTCTCTCAAGTACATTCCGAAAAACCAACCAATACTGAGATATAAGTGTAAAGTTTATTGCTCAAGGAAACACAGCTTAAACCCCTGATGGAGATTTGAACTTATGCTGCTAGCATTAACCACTTAGCCATGCAGTGGCACAATTATATTATTACTGGTAATGCTAAATTGTAATAAAAGTGTTGAGTTTTAATTCATACAATAAAATATTATCAAGAAAGACATACCAGAAAAGCTACCTTGAAAATGAAATTTACTTTTATTATTCTATCAGTATATTGCATCAAAATAAACAACAGAATAAGCAGATAAATAACACCTCAGGTGTGAAAGTTATTGCAACTACACAAGCAGAATGTTTTTGGAGTTGTTTTTTCCCTCCAACTTTTATACTGTCATAAAGACTTAATATATATATATATATATATATATATATACATATATATATATATATATATATATATATATATATATATATATATATATATATATATATATATATATATATATATATATATACATATATATATATATCTGTAGACGCAAAAATTCTGTGGGATGATAAAATGTCAAAGCTCTGAAAAAGATCAGCAAATTTTCCATTATAAGTGCCATGGAATAAAAAGTCATCAGTCAAGGATTCTTGCTTTATGAGTATGGAAGACACAATCTGTCAAATCTACGCTAAATGTGTCAATATCTCCAGCCTACAGTGTCTATAGAACAAATGATAATTTCCATTTCTTATCTTTTAAACTGAATTATAGACGGACAGATTATCTAATTTTATATGTGGGTGAAATAACGTCTAGATGATATATTGGAAAAATTCTGCCACAAATTTGCTTTCTCAGGGAGAAAAAATTAATGTGGATTTCATAGACTGATCATGGTGGAAGTATTGGGCTGAAAGAATTCTCTAATTTCTTTTATAATGTTATTGGGAACTTAATATAATTTCGTAATCAACCCAGCAAATCTGACAGTAAATTAGCCGTTGCCACTAGTATAGAGTCAGGCCAGCCTGCACTTGGAAGTGGTAAGGCCAACCCAGTCATCTTGGGTTTGAGCCCTACTGAAGCCATGGCTGTATATTCTCATAAGACCCCGGTACTGGCCTTGAGATTTTAATTGGTCAGTGTACATTCTGTGACAGTTTCTGACCAATCAAATAAGTGAGCTCTGAGTTGGAGCTTGGAGAATTTCTTTATAACCTCAGGGCCTGTTTAAAATTCTAGAAAGCAGATTCAAGTGTGGTCTAAAAAAGCTGCAAGATTTCTTCAAGATCAATCTTACATAAATAACATTTAAACTAACAGCTTATTATAATCCTTTTGATTCTGGAAAGCTTAAATATGGTGAACTCATGTTGTTTTTGACTGATTGCCAAGTTGCTATAACTTATAGCTGTAATAATGAGAGGCTGCATGAAATGACAAATTTATTGCTGCATTACTTTGTACAGAAGTTTGCACTGCAATATTCCAAACAGGCAAAGTTAGTGTTTATAATCATCCAACATAATTCATTACCATAAAAAAATAATCGCGAACAGGGAAAATCATTAATCACAATTTTTCAGTGTATGATTTAACAAGATGAGATAATTTAAGACATGGTACAGGTGTGTTTTTACTATTAACATGCTAAATATCTTAAATGATCTTGTACCTTTTACAATCTGGACAAAGCCATTCATCATTTTTAGGGAAATTTTTTAAAATATGTATTGATTGAATGGCAAAAAGTGCAGACCATGATTAGATGCCATGAATCTGTTGCCTTTAATTAGTAGTCTTAGAGTTAATTTTTGCTAATTTTTATTTTTTGGTCAGGTTTTATGTTGCATCAACACAAGATACTGGTCATTATTAAAAGCGACTTTCCTGTTTTAATAATTGTGTAGGCAGACCTCAGATGCCCTTCCGAGCATTATTTTAGGCAGGAACGGACAGTATATGAGTAGAACCATGCTTGCTGCATAGCTTTCTCACATGAAAAAGTCCAAAGTCCCTGTCGGGATTCAAACCCACAGCATTGAGGAGCAAGAGGTTTTAAGTCAACAGAAAAGTGTCAATAGATTTGAGCCGCGTCACGACAAAACCAACATAATGGGTTTGCGACCAGCATGGATCCAGACCAGCCTGCGCATCCGCGCAGTCTGATCAGGATCCATGCTGTTCGCTTACAAACCCTATAACAAGTAGAGAAACTGATAGCGAACAGCATGGATCCTGATCAGACTGCGCGGATGCGCAGGCTGGTCTGGATCCATGCTGGTCGCAAACCCATTATGTTGGTTTTGTCATGACACGGCTCATTTATAAAATGAACTACATGTATACTTCATTTTTTTTAAAAGACTGTAAGACATCACTATCCTGAACAAGTTTTTTGCTTTTTATTCTCATTGCATGTTAAATTTACAGTGCACATCATAAACTTAAATTTTATGGGAACTATCAGATTTATCAATTTAATATAACCATTTCTATGGTAACATGTGACCTGAGATGCATGGAGTTTAACACTATTTTAAAATATCAATCAATCAATCATTTACTAATTAATCAATCAAATCAATCAATCAATCAATAATCAATTATGATAATAAAAGTGTTTTGGCAATCTCAAGTTTTGTATTCACATTACTAACCATTGATCAAATACCATAAACATAATAGCTTATATGTCTGTTTTTAACACAACATCTACGCATCAACATTTAGTGGACTGGCAATGTCATGTAAATGGACATTGTAATATAAATTCCAATTACTTCTGGACAATGCCCTGTCCTTGGCACCTAAAAATGTACAAGTTACATTATTCACTTACAAATGAGGAAATAATTAAAGAAAATTTACGTACTTTTAATTTTGTGCGTATTCTAGAGGTTGCTATGTTGTTGTTCAGATTCTGTAAAAGCCGGACCACTTCCTGTTCGGCCAGGGTCTGCGACTCATCTCTTACCTCCGCTGAGAACACCTCCGCTAACCAGCTGTTAATTCAAGGTCAAGGATTTTCTAACATAAAAGCTTCTATCGCATGCTTAGTACAATAATAATTTCTTACCAGACGAAAAAAACACAACATCGATGAAAATTTTTTTTAGTCAGCCCGCTTCCAAGAAGAAAAAACTCAAGTTCTATTTCAAATCTATAAAAGGCTGTCTGATTTTTTTTTTCTTCATGTCTGCATAGTTGCTGAGAATAATTTGGTGTATTTTTCTGCAAGAAATCATTTTAAAACACTGAAAGCTAAAAGCTTCATGGAAATTGATACAGAATATTTCAAAAATGTAAAAGAATGGTTCCTTGTCATGGTATTTATTGATCAGTTTATATTCTGACATGCAAAATGGTAATAACACAATCTAAATTTTTCTCTCTACAAAATATTTGGTGAAGGTATTTATATATACTAAAACTGGTAATAAAAGTAAGATAATATATAACAATTTAAAAAAAAAACATTTGTGACTGGAATACAGTCAAAAATCTGTGACTGGAATTAACTGTGAAATTTCTGACAAATTAATGGCCCTATGTTAACTGGTAATTAAAATGATATATAAAAAATAAAAGAAAAAAATTGTGACTGGAAAATAGTAAAGAAAAAAAAAATTGTGATTGGAATACAGTGATACCCCTGTAGAATGGCCCTCTTGTAGAGCAAGAACCTCTTTATAACAATATTATTTATTTTTCCCAAATTAAGACTCCACAATATATTAACGTATAATTTAACCTCTCTAGAACAATCACCTCTCCACAACACCCTTAATCTTTACTCTCCCAAAGGGGGTTGCTCAGCAGGGGTTGGACTGTATTGTTCTCCAACTCCCTTTCTAATACTTTAACATAAATCAAATATTTGTAAGAAAAATACATTGTCCTTGAAATTTCATAAATATGAACTTACTGAATAATAAATGACTGAATAAGAAATGACTGAATATCAAACAGTGCTGGGCATTAGCATAGCTACATTTAGCTAGCTGGGCCGGTTCCTGTACAACCACATAATGTGACGCAATGCCATGGCGTGACATCAACTTACTTGTATAGAAAGCCTTGACTGTCTTATAATTATAAACCTGAACGTTCTTATATCCAAATAGTAAATATATTGAGTCAATCTTTCATTTAATTTGGGAAGACATTAATACTGTAAAGAAATAGTGACACAATAATGTTCATTTTTATAATCATAAGATAGACAAGGCTTTCCATATATTTGCATTTACAATCAGGGACAAATGAGCCGCGTCTAGACAAAACCAACATAGTGCGTTGCCGACCAGCATGGATCCAGACCAGCCTGTGCATCCGCGCAGTCTGATCAGGATCCATGCTGTTCGCTATCAGTTTCTCTTACTTGTAATAGTTGGTAAGCGGACAGCATGGATCCTGATCAGACTGCGCGGATGCACAGGCTTGTCTTGTACCATGCTGGTCGCAAACGCACAATGTTGGTTTTGTCGTGACGTGGCTTAAATATTCTATTCTGCGCATTTATATACATCAACATTATTACAGGTTGATAATTAATTCAATAAAGTAAAGATATATTTCGGAGTAATTTACTGATATCAAATTACACAAAAAATTACATAAAAATTGGCAATATCAAAAATAATAATTTAATAACAATTACAGTATATATAGCTTTAATGCACTTGACTATACTTGATTGGACAAAAACTGATTATTTAAAGAAAATCTGAACTACTTTCATTAAAAGAACATTGGAAGGACACATTTTGGATTGAAGTTTGTTACAAGAAACTTTACTTGAAACGCTTTTAAAACCTACATACAAAAGTTTTGATAGATGTGACGTTCTTTTATAGATTTATAATAAAACTTTTCTACAGCAGATGATATCTAGACATATATGTCAATAATATAAATAGAAATCTAAAACCCATCACCACAAAATAATAGATGTTGCAGACAATTTTTTTGACTTTCTTCTCACAAAGTTGAAAAGCAAAATAATACTGTGTGAAGTAAATAAACACCTTTGAATTTTCAATTTAGTTATATAAAAGTAGACAGTTACTGTGTAAGAACTGTTACAGAATATGATAGATGTTATCATGAACTTGGCAAATGTGGGTTTTGCCCTGCAGTTCAAACACTACCGTTCACAATAGCTTAGTCAACCTGTTGTCTGTAACTGTAAAAGTTTGTGTGTACCGACAAACCAAATACTCTAAATTCTGGAGTAAAATGGTTACAAGGATTTTGGATCTTCAAGTCAAAAGCATTGACCTAAATGTCATGACTGGACCTTTTTATTATTATAGAACTGATAATTACCATCATGGAAAAAATCAAGGCCATCATGGAACAAATCATGGCCAGCATGGAACTAATTAAGGCCATCATGGAGCTAATCAGGGCCTTTTTTAAAATAAGATCAAGGTACCCATCATGAAGATCATCAAACTAATTGTAACTTCCATAACAGGGAACCAATCACTGCCTTTATTATCAAAAAATATGAAACCAATCACAGCCTTTATGATCAAAGATCATAAACATTGTCATGGCCTTTATCATCAAAGATCATGGAACTAATCACTGCCTTTCTCATCAAAGATCATGGAACTAATCACTGCCTTTATCATCAAAGATCATGGAACCAATCACTGCCTTTATCATCAAAGATCATGAAACTAATCACTGCCTTTATCATCAAAGATCATGGAACTAATCACTGCCTTTATCATCAAAGATCATGGAACCAATCACTGCCTTTATCATCAAAGATCATGAAACTAATCACTGCCTTATCATCAAAGATCATGAAACTAATCACTGCCTTTATCATCAAAGATCATGAAACTAATCACTGCCTTTATCATCAAAGATCATGGAACTAATCACTGCCTTTATCATCAAAGATCATGAAACTTGTCATGGCCTTTATCATCAAAGATCATGGAACTAATCACTGCCTTTCTCATCAAAGATCATGGAACTAATCACTGCCTTTATCACCAAATATCATGGAACCAATCACTGCCTTTATCATCAAAGATCATGGAACTAATCACTGCCTTTATCATCAAAGATCATGGAACCAATCACAGCCTTTATCATCAAAGATCATGGAACCAATCACTGCCTTTATCACCAAAAGATCATGGAACCAATCACTGCCTTTATCATCAAAGATCATGGAACTAATCACTGCCTTTATCACCAAAGATCATGGAACCAATCACTGCCTTTATCATCAAAGATCATGGAACCAATCACAGCCTTTATCATCAAAGATCATGGAACTAATCACTGCCTTTATCATCAAAGATCATGGAACCAATCACTGCCTTTATCACCAAAGATCATGGAACCAATCACTGCCTTTATCATCAAAGATCATGGAACCAATCACTGCCTTTATCACCAAAGATCATGGAACCAATCACAGCCTTTATCATCAAAGATCATGGAACCAATCACAGCCTTTATCACCAAAGATCATGGAACCAATCACTGCCTTTATCATCAAAGATCATGAACTAATCACTGCCTTTATCACCAAAGATCATGGAACCAATCACTGCCTTTATCATCAAAGATCATGGAACCAATCACTGCCTTTATCATCAAAGATCATGGAACTAATCATGGCCTTTATCATCAAAGATCATGAAACTAATCACAGCCTTTATCATCAAAGATCATGAAACTTGTCATGGCCTATATCATCAAAGATCATGGAACCAATCACTGCCTTTATCACCAAAGATCATGGAATTAATCACTGCCTTTATTATCAAAAATTATGGAACCAATCACTGCCTTTATCATCAAAGATCATGGAACTAATCACAGCCTTTATCATCAAAGATCATGAAACTTGTCATGGCCTTTATCATCAAAGATCATGGAACTAATCACTGCCTTTATCATCAAAGATCATGGAACCAATCACTGCCTTTATCATCAAAGATCATGGAACTAATCACTGCCTTTATCATCAAAGATCATGGAACCAATCACTGCCTTTATCATCAAAGATCATGGAACCAATCACTGCCTTTATCAACAAAGATCATGAAACCAATCACTGCCTTTATCATCAAAGATCATGGAACCAATCACTGCCTTTATCATCAAAGATCATGGAACCAATCACTGCCTTTATCATCAAAGATCATGGAACTAATCACTGCCTTTATCATCAAAGATCATGGAACCAATCACTGCCTTTATCATCAAAGATCATGGAACCAATCACTGCCTTTATCACCAAAGATCATGGAATTAATCACTGCCTTTATCATCAAAGATCATGGAACCAATCACTGCCTTTATCATCAAAGATCATGAAACTTATCATGACCTTTATCATCAAAGATCATGGAACTAATCACTGCCTTCAACATCAAAGATCATGGATCCAATTACTGCCTTTATCATTAAAGATCATGGAACCAATCACTGCCTTTATCATCAAAGATCATGAAACTGAATCATGGCCTTGATAATCATGAAACTTTAAGAAACCATGGCCTTCCTTAAATCATAAAACAATGTTAATGGCCATTTTAAGAAGAAAATGGAACTAACCATGAGCTAATTATAGCTTTTGCTTTTATTATATGAAAGGCATGACTCTTTTTATGTCTTAATTAAAAGACAATGGAACTCTCCATTGAACTTATCATGGCATTTATTGCAAAAGAATGGAGCAAATTATGTTTTTAAACAAGAGCATGTACTTAATCATGCCTGGCTTTATCATAAGATCAACACATTTATCAAGAGACCATGGAATTCCATTGCAATCGCAACTATATGGCCTATTTAAAAAGCATGATCTTTATCTTTATCACAATTTAGAGCATACAAAAAATCATGGCTTTTTTTTTACAAGAGCATGGACTCAATCACAACCTTAGTACTAAATTAATCAGCACATGGAACTAATTTTTTGCACTAAATCACAAGATCATTGAAGTTTACATGGTATTAGTTTATCATTAACCACTGGGCCATGCCACCACACACTGACAACCACAAAGCCACAAATCGACCATGCCACCAAATCATGGTCTTACAAGAGCATGTGAAACTAATCATGGCTTTTTCTACAAGCAATTATGAAATAAAAGATAAACCCAGGACAGGGCCATTTAAGATCAAAATGTGCAATTTATCAGATATACTTCTGTAAAGGTCTACCAGACAATATTACATATCAAAGGTTTAACCTCATTGGTTTGTAGTTTCAGATACCAATTTGACAGTATTAATGACGAAATTGGTCCTGTGTCAAATTTTGACCCAGGGAAATGATTTATATCACTTCTGTACAGGCATACATATTTTTTAACTACCAAGACCTAATGCTTAGAGTATTTGTCTAAGACAAATACTCTAAGCATTAGGTCTTGGTAGTTAAAAAATCAGACAATATAACATTATATTGTATAGTTATTTTCCTATATCAGACTCCGAGATGGACCCATAAATAACCTTTTAAGAGAATCACCAGACTGTGTAAGGCTTCAAAATATAACAAATCACAGAAATAATTTTGAAGAATTAATTTCTTAGAGCAAACATTTTCAAAAACTCCATGACCTACCTAGGAATCAGGCTTGAACCAACCATATTATTGTTTATAGAGAACCTGAACCTTGGAGCATTCCAGTGAAGTTTGGTCAAAAATCTACAAAGAGGTTTGAAAGGATATAAATGTGTTTTTTAAAAAAAGAAATATAATTTTGGAGATATACATTGTCTCCAGATTATGAAAATAAAGTACATTAATTTTTATTCATCACCGTTTTCAAGCTCACCAGGGCACTTAGTGCTTAAAGTAAGATACTTCCCAGCACTTAAATCAATGTGCCCAGGTGTGATACAAAAAGTTCAAGTTTCTGTAATTAATATTTGTCTATAATGATACCATCCATTACCATAACATTCAGTTCAAGCTTAGACAGGAGTGCCTTAATGCTTTATAATTTACAGTCTGAACATTCATATCACCTGTTTTAGCCGACCAACCACTTAAGTTTTTCTCAATATTCAAGTTATGTCATTAAAATGGATTTGTCTATAAATGGCACATTTTCCACAAGTATTATTTTCAAATATTGATAAAAAACAAAAGAAATGCATCATTTGGATATTCTTATAAAATATTTCTTGAAGAAAGACAAAATGTTTACCAAGTTATAAGTGATTTAATATGATCATTAATTTTATAAGATGACAACTGATATTTTGTTCTAGAACAATTTATCTACTATATTAAGACATGTTATATGAAATCTGGCATCTCACAATTAACAGCAACATCCATATATAAGCTTTTCCTGGTTTGTCTTTGTCACGTATGACACTTAATACTATCAACAATATTTATTTATGGTATCACATACCTTCCATTATAGACAAATTCACTTTAATATGCACACGATAATTTCAAGGATAAATTCAAGAATTCTAGGGTTTAAGAAATATCTCAACTGACATTTTGCATTTTAATGAAAGATGAACAGAAATCAACATTAATAACAAGTTAAAGCAGCATACCTCAAGATTCATGCTAATTTTAGTGAAAAGTTTTTAAAAATGTAATTATTAAAAAGTAATTAAAATATTGCAAAGTGAACAAAGAAAATAATGTATACATTGCAAACAGCATTAACAACCAATATAAATTACCAAAAAGACAGGCCAACATATGCAATAATAGCCCTTTAACTGCGTAACACATTAGAAATATGGTAACAAATACTGCAAATTGGTCATAAATCACTCATAACATAGAAATTATCACTTTAATCTTGAGTCTTTTTACTTTGCTTAAAATCTCAGCAATTTTTACTCAAGTTTATTTTCTTAAAATATTTTGGCTTATCTGGAGGCTGCAATAATGCAGCTTTAAAAGATTATTACATGCATGATAATGAATTTACAAATTAGAGAAAATTGAACTAAAGAAAAGGATACTTGTCCCTCATTTGCTGCATTTCTTCAATAGCCTCCTCTGGTGCTGAAATAACAATTTATATCAGATTATTAATCATAAAATGGCAACAAATAAACAGTTTTATGTAATAGTTTAATTATACCATAAAGTAACAATATTAGAACTATAACAGATTAATAACAATCAGAACAAGATAAGTTAAATAACCACAAGGTAGTAATCATGTTGAATTATTACAATTCAATACCCGTAAACCATAACAATTAAATAACCAAAAAATAAATATCAAAACCATAACAGTATAATAACCATAAAGTAACAATAAGAACTATAACAGAAAGAACCTGAACACCTATTAATATCCACAAGATAACAATTATTATTGTAGAATTTCAATAACCATAAAGTAACTGTTAAATAAGTAAACATAAAGCCATTCAAAACAGTTTGTTGACCACAAAATAATAATAATAACTTGAACTATAACTACTAACCATTCATAACTAAATAAAGCTTCAATCTAATTTTTACCCTTTTTACATACATCTGTTCCAATCAAAAGTAATTTAGTATCTGTTAGTACTAAGTAAGTTATTGGAAGGGCCATAACTCTGACAAAATGTTAACTTTAACATTTATGTATGCTTTGTTGTTTTTCAAAGAATATAATCCATATTTTCAAATTTTCACAACAACACCTTTGAATTTACCTAAACAAGAAGGTCGTAATGCCCTGGATCACTCACCTTACGATATATTGCTAAAAAAGCTCACAATTTAAAAATAAGGTCACACTGTGTTTGTCATTTTTTGCCAAAGCATCTTAATTCTTAAACTATTTGAAGATGTCTGCTACTATTAATGCTTCATGATATATAAGCTCTACTGGTTGGGGACCACCAAAATCGGACAATCACCAAACCCTGACGGCCCCGAAAATGCTTAATTAAAATAATTTTGTTTGTTCATTTGTTGTCGATCTATCTGTCACTTTATAACAACAATAAATGCATGTTTCTTCTATAATTTAGAAATTAGATTTATTTCATACTTTCAAAGAAAAAGATTTTTAATACATTTATTTTTAACTTAACTATATATACTGACCGTAGGATGGGGCCATTTCTGACCTTTGGGGCATGATTTATAGCACTTTTCTAGAGAATCAAATTTAATGTGAGGCTTCAGACAAAACATCTAAGCTATGGCTATTCCATTTTTATAAAAGAATACTTGAATGTATCTTTCTATATTAAAGCTTATGAAAACTAATAAACCCCTAGGGCAGGGTCATGTTTAACCTAGGGGCATGATTTATAAATATTAAAGGTAATGCTACATGCCAAATATCTAAGCTCTGGGCATTGTAGTTAAACTGAGAAGAAGATTTTAAAGATTACATTTCAGCTCCTGTGACCTACTTAAGCATTAGACTGAAACCATCTTCACAACACCTAATAATCATTCCTGTGAAGTTTAAGCAAATTTCATCAAGCATTCATAAGTTCCTAGAATTTTTAAGAAATGTTGTTTTTTCCCCCACAAATGATAAATACTCATTTCTTACAGAAATTTCAGAAGCAAATATAGTTCTTGTGTTCGCACATTTAAAACAGTCCATCATCCTCTATTAAAAGTAAAGTCTCTTTAACTAATCACCAAAATATCATCATGGGTCCAGATTTTCTTATATATTTAAGAAGTTGACTTTCTATAATTATTCTCGATCTTACCAGACTAATGTCAGACATGTTTCCTGGAAAAAAACTTAGCCACTATTAGATATGTCCATGGAGTCTACCAGAGCGTTTAATTTCAGGAAGGGGGAGAGAGAGCTGTTAATAAATGATGTCCCTAGGCAAACAAATGGCAAACAAGCTGACATTTCAAAACTAATTGAACAACATGTCGTTCAGAGGTTCTCCAAATCTTGCTTTCATCTCCCTAGTGCTAAAACAGTGGCGTAAATATCGTGTCTTTCACAGCAATTAGATTCTGGTTTAATTCCAGTTGGCCATGCTCACGAGGGGGCAGGAAAAAACGGAAATAAAAATTAATATAATATGTAAAAACTTCTTTGTTTTCTTTGAAAAAAATGTAAGAAAATTACATAATCAAAATTTCAGAAAATTGGATTTTCCGTAAAAATACGGCATGTTAAAAAAAAACAAAAACAACAGTCCCTCAAGCTGGCATCTGTTTTTGAGATCAAGTTAATTACAAACTGCAGTCAATTATACAGTAAATGAACAGTTCTGACTGCATTCCTTTAAAGCATGACACAGTCTGTTTTCTGCAGGAATGTGCTTGTAAAACATGTTTAATCAACTGGGTTTAAATGGTTAAAAAAAAATCATGTCTTTATCACTGGTAAATTTTCATTGATTTTTGTACATTTAATGGATAAAAAAATGATGTAAATGTGTAATTTTGCATAGGACTTGAATGACAGAATTAAATTTTCAATACTTAGTCATAGGAATAGTGTTTGTAAGTCAGCTTTTAATGAAATTTATCTGTCGGTGCCCCACAGTCAGACACTACAATATTATTATTAAATGGTATAATGATGACTTAACAAACACTTAAACCTTGTTCTCAATCTCAAAACTATATGTGAGTCAGAGTACGTGTGACTAACAGTACTGGTATAACTGACTTGTATTTAGCATGAAGTTGGTGCCAATTAAAACAATTAAATGTACAAAATAATTGAAAAATGGAACGATTTCATTGGTTTCAACCACAAAATCATTTTATTTGTGCTCAGTTGTAAAGAAGACAAAAGAAGCTTATTAAATTAAAATTCAGAGTTCACTTCCAGCTGGACCCCAGTCGGGCTCGAGCATGATGGTCCTTGGATTCAGGGAGGCAGACACACTAATCATATACCCCCCCTCCTCTATTCCCATTCAACTCTATACTTTGTCTGAAACTTTGTTTTGCCCCTGTGATTATATATTTGTATTAACACAGTATAGCTGTATGTTTATATGTCTGTTCAGAGCTTTGTTTTCTACAACCACTGATGGTATGTAATACTCATGTACTAAATGATCAACACTGCATCTTTTACTTTTTCAACTTTAAATACAATAAAATCTAAGAGTTAGAACTGTAGTCCTTATTACAGTAAACATTTTTATTTTGTAGAGTTACACAAATTTTTATTAAAGATTGCATTTTTCTGGGTTTTTTTTTCTTAAATAATGATTCCACTTTATTGTTTTGGGGTGGGGATTTTGAGAAACACAGTTTTGAGTGGCAAATATACATCAGCAAGGACCAAGGGTGTAAACACACATGCTGCTATCTTAGAACTTACAACCATATTTTATCTAATATAATCTATAACAACTCAACTTGATATTGAATAAAATATTAAAAGGTTACTGAAACTTGATAAACTATTGATAGACATGGAGTCAAGTGTTCATATCCTATTTCCTTAATACTTTACAATCTACTTTTTTTTCATATTGTTAATCACTCTGAAATACGAGTTTGTTTTAAGGGTCATTGTATTGAGTACTACTACTAATACTGTCCAGATTTTCTGCATTATAACCTAATACACTTCATAGGTTATACTCTTGCCAACATTTTTTAGTTTGTAAAACTGTGGCCTGAGGATTCCACTACCCATTTATAAGGGAAGGTAACAACGCTGTAATCCACTGAGCCAAAGAATCAATTCCAGTGATGCAGTTGTCGAAGGTTGAACTTGAAGGTATTAAGAGCACAATCAACTGTAACAGTAATATAAAACAATGCTCAATTACTGTATTTTGTGCAATTGACATGCCTAGCTGCTTCGAGGTCTGTATGCAAAGTATTTTGAGGGATATTTCAGAATGAACCTGACTTCAGCCATGTAACAATAAATAATCTTGTCTGTGTGTTCAGATGATATATCTGCCAGTCTGCATAGCTCAATCAGATAGAGCACGAGACTTGTAATCTTGACATTGTGGGCTAGATTCCCAGGCTGGCCAACATAAATTACTAATGAGACTTTAAATGGAGGTCCCATGTATGAGTGTTTAAACTCTTGGCATGCTAAAGAACAAGGAGAAGCTTCTAGAACTGTGGCATGTATCAGTATGTTATCCTCAAAAAATCTAAAATGACTGGTGTAATCTTCTTTTAAGAGGACTCGCCCATATGGTCAACCAGTGGCGAGTTTAAATAAACTCAAATACATGTGACACACACACAGATGATATATAGAATATGCTGACTGATGCTGTGAGACCTCTTGTTTTGCTGCTACAGTGCTCACATTACTGACAAATATTTGAGCAAAAACAACAAAACATGAAGTGTTTGACAACATTAAGAAATCACGTTTTCATTATTAATTTTGATGTATTAGCTTTATGCCAGAATTGTATCATTTTATGACTTATATTTCATAATAACATTGATAATTCGCAGACCCTTTGATATTTTTATAATTGTCTGCAAGCTATAACCAATCCGCTGGGAGTCTGTAAAGATTTGTCTGTATCCTGTGATTCTCCGTAAATTTTTTTAAATGAATAATGACAATATACTGTATATACGCGGCCATAAGTCGACCTCATCCATAAGTCGAGGGGTGTATATTGACTAAAAAAAGTTGGTATTTTGACTTGACTCTTCCATAAGTCGGGGGTAATTTTACTCAACATCTCCTTAAAGTTTTTAGGCTTAATGTTGTTTCTGGCTCTTCGGGCCATCTAAAATCCTGTCTTTAGATTTCGGGCTCTTCGGGCCATCTAAAATCCTGTCTTTAGATTTACGCCAATCACGCACAAGTTTTTCACTGACTCCAAACTCATGTTCAGCAGCACAGTTATTTGAAGTTTCGGCAAATTCTATTACACAAATTTTAAAGCATTGTCATAAGCAGTACGCTTCCGTTTAGGCATTTTGTCACAGTTGTAGATAATCCAATTTGTGCGTGTTCTTTAAAACGTTTTACTTTATGTCACAGTTTTTTTCTTAAGTAAACAAATCCTTATAGATAATCCAATATGTGCGTTAAATGCTAGTTTAATAACTGTCAAAACAAATAGATGTGTAAAAACAATCGGCAGAAAAATCTATATATTAACGAAACCTTGTGCATTAATTATAGGAAAGTGTGTATAAATTATTATGAACACGCCTTCATCCAATCAAAAAAATCTATGCAAAAAAGCTAATCAAACACGATTGGCTATGGGTGTGTTTGACAATTGAGTAAATTAATTTGATTGGTCTTCGTTTGGTTTGCATTAGAACATTGCGCATATCATTAAGCAATACAAACATCTTGAGCGTGACGTAAGCACAGCTGCCCTGACAAAAGATCAAAGGTGACGGTATGTCTATGTACAGTGTATTAGCACCTTTTGACACTTTGTTTTTCACATGGATATATTGAGAAGGGTAAATATTTTTAGCGACTCTAAGTTTACATTCTTCAGCAACAAAGGGAAATGTGTTCTGCTAATTGCTATTAAAGTATGATTTTCCATTAAATTTTCCTTTATATCGGCCGCTGATTTAAAAACTGAAATTTATTATAAATTATTATCGAACATCCCTTGCAAAATTAAAATAAGATTCATTTTAATATTTTATTGTTTAAACATTATGTCTATGTTTCTTTACCAATCGGTACTGAAAGATGAGCCAGCATTACCGCTTACAGAACTCTCAAAAAAGGCTCTAATTAGATCAATATTTTTTGGTTACTCGACCATAAGTCGAGTTGATTTTTATAGACAATTTTGGCAACCGTTTTTGGTCGACTTATGGCCGCAAATCTACAGTAGGTCTGCTAGTGAAATATAGAAAGTCTATCTCAGTCATTTTTTACCTTATTTGTTTAACTTTAATATCTTAAATAACTTCAGTTTGGTTGCTGTAACATAATTAAATCAGTGCTCTCTTTTGCCTATTAATCTGCCTAGAATCCTTATAAATACAATTATTTGAACAGGCATAAGTCCTGTTGTATGACAGTAACCCTGTCTCTAAATCTGTATCACCTATTTACCCAATGCATGACTCGAGATATTTTCCATTGAACTTTTCTTGTTACCCTGCAGCTTCTTTGAATGCCCTTAAGGTCTTTTAACATTTCCAGTTTTTAGCAGTGAAATATTTAGCCCTGCCTTAATTATTCATTCTTTGTTTAACTGCTCAAAAACAGAAACAAAGCACACATTCTTTTCAGTGGTTATGTATTTGTTAGTCACCATTTTGTAGATATCATTTAAGAACATGAATGACACGTGTGCGGGTCAGTACTCTCAGTGCCAAAAGTGCAGATGGACTATTATCTTATTGTGCCTAGAATACATACATACATAAATACATACATGATTGTAGCTAATGGATAATTAGTTAGTCAATTTGCATAAAACTGTAAACACTGGAAAGGACTCAACTCCATTTGAACCTTCAACACCCTACAATTTTCTTTAAACTGACTGTTCTGTAACAACCTCCTTCATTTACTTTTTACCATTTTATCTTTTATAACCAAGTAAGCAGCTCAAGATATTAAAATCATATTTCTATGTCATGATCATAACTTAAGACTGTAAGACAATAGGAATATAAACAATGAGGGTATAAACATTTGGTTCAAAACAATTATTGTTGAGAAGTTGCACCTTATTAAATATGACAAGCCCCCCTGGGCTGTAATGTCTGTCAGACATCCCAACAATTGGTAGTCAGTTATTTCCTTAACTAACAATGTTCCATCTTCAATAATAATGTAGAAGTCAGAGAGTCTCGAGAGTACAAGGAATTATGTATCATAATATAAGATATCAATAATCCAATTTCATCCATTTATATATCTCTCTACCAAATACATAGAGCTTTTTTTCTGCTTACATCACTGTCAGAAATTTTGTCAGATTTTATCTTTTTTACTGACATTGAACATTGAAATGATATAGGCCTATAATGCATCAATATTGGAATAGCCTACTGGCCAACTTGTACATCATTCTTTACAGTACAGACTAACCATATTGTTCATCAGACCGATCATATTGTTCATCAGACTTGACCGTATTGTTCTTCAGACAGGCTGACCATATTGTTCATCAGATGTTCATATTACCGTATTGTACAGACTGACCTCATTGTTTATCAGACTTGATCATGTTGTTCATCAGACATGACCATATTGTTCTTCAGACAGACTGACCGCATTGCATTGTTCAACAGACCTGATCGTATTGTTCATTAGACTTGACTGTATTGTTAATTAGATTTAACAGACCTGACTGTATTGTTTATCAGATTTAACAGAATTGACTGTATTGTTCATCAGACTTGACTGTATTGTTCATCAGACTTGACTGTATTGTTCATCAGATTTGACCGTACTGTTCATCAGATTTGACCGTACTGTTCATCAGATTTGAAAATACTGTTCATCAGATTTGAACGTACTGTTCATCAGATATTGTTCATCAGATTTGACCGTAATGTTCATCAGATATTGTTCATCAGACTTGACTGTATTGTTCATCAGATTTGACCGTACTGTTCATCAGATTTGACTGTATATCTCATCAGACTAACAGAGAGTTTTAAGTATAATTAAATCTTAACTCAAAGTTTACAAAATCTTCAGACAGAACAAGCATTTAGGTCAAAAGCATTGACCAATTCTGTCACTCAACCATGAAAAATATCTGTTGCAGGAGTTCAACTCCTAGCAGCAGAAAAAAGTGGTTTCCAGTCTAAGCAAGAAAGACCCTGTCATCTTTATTATTGTGATGTATAATATTTTATCTTCTTCCACACTTTATGTTCATCACAATAGAGGCAGACACACAACCCCCTTGCAGTTGTGTTATTATTTTGACCAAGTGAAAAAAAAAATATTTAAACAATCTTGGTAAAGGTCCAATACTTACAGCTTACATTGTTTCCTTTCCATACTGAGATTTCTACATCATGTGAAAAACAATTAACTGCACCTTGCCATGCATTCAAGCAATTGGCTTAAAAAAAGGCTAGCAGAGAATAATGCAGGAGGAGGAAAATTAAGTCAGTGCTTGGAAATATATTATGCCTATGATTAAAGTTCTTTTATTTTGACATTAATTCATACAAACTACTGTTTTAATGAGATATCTCCAGTCCCATGTGTATATTTTGTATTTATTTCTTCTCCGTCTGTTGGTTTTTATATGTGGGCGTGTATTTCTGAAACTGTCTAATCTAACACATGCTGTTTCTCCTACATTCAGAAAAACACTTTCTGAAAATCTTGAATTGTGCTAAAGACTAACAACTGCAAATATAATGAAACTTAATTTGTGTCTCACTGTTCTTTTATGTTCTGCAATTCCGAGAATTATGTTAAGCACAGCAATTTCTGTGTGTTCTAGGGCATATTTACTGAAGATCTTGGGTGTATGATTTACTTAACTGTGGTATTAAAGGTCTACTAAACAATGTTACATGCCAAGTATCTCAATCTCTGGGGTTTGCAGTTTCTATTACAGAAACCAATTTTATACAAACTTAAGTTACTTTGTTTGTACACATTCAAAAGGTATTGCTATGGCAATGCTGCATTATAAGTGTACCTAATACCTAAGCCATGGGCCTTGTAGTTTCAGACAAGAAGATTTTTGAGACTTCATTTTTTTAAAGTATATTTTTAGCAGCCAATATATATCTTTATGCAATCATAACACATACATTTCATTTTCACAGCGGGAGTACTGTGACAATGTTATTCTTAAGGGTCACTGGAATAAATTAATTAATTTGCTTTCAGTTTAATTGTCAGCCATAGAGATTAAAGGCATATCACACACTATTATGGTCATCTGACCCATATATATTCTTGGAAACTAAATGAAATACAACCATGACATCTTGCACAATTCCTACAAACTAACTGATATACTTGAAGTGTTCTGCAGACAATAACATTTGCAAATTTCGTTAACATGCAAGAACAGCATAAAAACTATCTGCATTATAATGACATAGAGATGTGTGGAATTATATTTATTAAGATTGTGTGCACCCAATTACTGCATGGGGTACAATTATTCTACGTTGGTATTTTAGCAACTGGTTTTATCTCTGTTTGATGGTTCCAGCTAATCAGCAACTTGTTGTGGTATAAAGCCCCCAGAGGACACTAGCTGTAATATCTTGCTATTACATCAAAAGAATAAAAAAATAAATTATATGCACTGAGATGCCTTTCTATGGCTTTTCAGCATTTCTAATTAAAGTCAGACTGTTATATTGCACAAGAATATTGAATGATTGTAGGCACCTCAAAATTTAATAGCGCAACTGGGATTACCAAATATTTGAACTTAAATATTAATATATAGAATGAAAACAATGCATGTTAGTTGCAGTCTGCAAAATTTTAAATAAATGATATTCTATAAATACATTGTATGGAAATCCATATAACTTTTCAAAAGACCACCAGGTGATGATGCAACAATTATTTTTTGGTCATTAGCATAGATGAAAGCGGATATGAAGTTGGACCGCAACGCTCCTTATAAACTTTACCAGAGAGCTTCAAATTTACTTACAATATACTTGAACTGTGCTTTATTTGTGGCAGGAAGCTAAAATTATATTAGGTCTGGGCATAGTAGTTATTGAGGAGAGACTTTTAAAAAATTTAATCTTAATGTCTATTTTTAGCTCCTGTGACCTACATGTACATTTGACTGGTACCATTTAAAAACCATTGTACAGGGTCACCAAACAATCACTCCTGTGAAGTTTGGCCAAAATCTACCTCTTGGGTTAGAAAGCATTATTGTTTAAAGACACTGTGGAAAAGGATGAAAGACAGGCATCATGTGATCAAAAAAGTACCTCTTGAGCGCATTTGGGCTCCTGTGAGCTAAAATTGTTTTTAACTACTAAAAATTCTATATTAATTATATACTTATATAATATATATAGATAAACATACATGTAGTTGAGCCTGTTGTCTGTGTATTGATCAAACATGTAAGTCCTGTCACCCAGATATTGGCTTCATCTGGGGTGTTTGCTATCAAATCCATTGACTCAAAATTGTCCCCAAACACAATAGAAAAGGCACATTCGTCCGGGTATATCCCAGCAATTTCTTTGTTCTTTAATGCATCTGTTGTTTTACCACTTCTCACTTCTTTAATGGAAGCTATAGGAACTGAAAAATAAGTATTAATATATGATTAAGACTTAAGATTGAGTTATTTCAAAAAGAATTTAATGCCTATAATGAGATAATTAAGAGCCTGATCCCTAAGCCTAGGGTTTGTACTCTCAGTGCCTGAAAGGGCAGATGGACCCTCATTAAGCATAGAATATGCAGGTCCCTAATCCTGAAACAAACCCTATGGATAGTCCTTAAGGCTGAAAAGAAAACGTTATTGGTGGCCCAATCAATACTTAATATGTATAGATTATAGCTACAGATATACCTGGTCCTAGGTATAAACTCTATCTTAATTATCTATTGTCAACCTGTACTTACTACAAGAGCTACAGGTAGCTTGAACACAATCCTGTATAATAAAAGCTCTAATGGTAGTCCTTAGTAATCCTGTATCAAATATCAAACATTTGTCATTCTAACTCTTAATGATAGTAAATCTATATGCCTCCACCCATTAAGTATAGTGAAGGAATTAAAAACAAAACAAATCCTACAGTAAAAATAGTTCAGTCACATTTGACATAAAACCTGCAAAATTTCACTTAAATTGGGAATATTTAAAAATTCCTTAAACTCTTAGCGTTTAACTCATCTGCACTTTAGGCTTGTAGCTTCATTCACACTTTTAATGATAGTAGATCTATATGCCCCCTTTCAATAAGTTTAGTGAAGGTATCAAAAACAAGAGCTGTCCGTAAGACAGCGCGCTCGACTTTTTTATTGCTTGCCAATAAAAAAAGTTTTTGCAGTAAAAGGCAATACAAGAATCTCTGTATTTTTAAAGTGAACAATGGCCATGAGCATTAAGATATTTAGTGAAGAATTATTTTACTGAATTGTGTGATACCCTTGAACACTGCAGCAAAGTTTGAAATGTTTAAGTCAAAAGAGGGCTGGTAAGAAAGAAAAAAAAACTGAGTTGAGTTTTTTAGTGCTTGCCTATAATACAAAACATTGACAGTTAAGGGCCATAATTCAAATAAAATCTTTGACAGAATTACCTTCTCCTGGACATGTTTGGGAATCATGATTGTAAACAAGTATTCCAACTTTCAAATTAATATCTCAAACAGTTCAGTCTCAAAAAGTGGACTGGTACTAAAAACTTAACCAAGATTCTAAGTCGATAAAAGGCCTTAATTTTTAAAACAAATCCTTGACAGAGTTACCTTCTCTTGCGTACAGATGGGGGTAATGATGTGAAATAGCATTAAAAGTTTCAAAGCAATATCTCAAAGGGTTAAGGCAATAAGTGGATTTTACCCATATTCAATGTATTTTCTAAGTCAAAAAGGGGCATAATTCTGTCAAAAACCTTGACAGAGTTATGTCCTCTTGTCTGTTGATGAAGGTCGTGATGGTAAACAAGTATGGTCAGTTTCAAAGCAATACCTCCAATGGTTTTGAAATAAAGTGAGGTGGTACAAAAAACTTAACCAAGCTCAATACACTTTCTAAGTCAAAAAAGGGCCATAATTCTGTCAAAAACCTTGACAGAGTTATGTACTCTTGTCTGTAGATGGAGGTTATGATGGTGAACAAGTATGGTAAGTTTCAAAGCCATACTTGTAATACTTCTGAAATAAAGTGGGGTGGTACGAAAAACTTAACCAAGGTGTGACGCCAACGCCAACGCCGACGCCGACGCCGGGGCGAGTAGGATAGCTCCCCTTTTCATAGAAAAGTCGAGCTAAAAATGAAACCAGTATATGGAAACTTAAGATGGTGTATTTTAATCAGTCCTGCAATCTATAGAAACTCGATTGATAATCCATCTACAGAAACTAAAATGTTGTTATAAAGGCAGTCTACACTAAAGATACTAGAAAGCTATAGACACTAGAATATTGTTAACCAGTCTATATTGATACTAGAATATATAGTTTACCAATCTATAGACACTAGAATATAGTTTACCAATCTATAGACACTAGAATAAAGTTAACCAGTTGATAGACACTAAAATATAGGCTACCAGTCTATAGACACTAGAATATTGTTAACCAGTCTATAGACACGAATACTGTTAACCAGTCTATAGACACTAGAATATAGTTAACCGAGACAAAAGAATAATTTTATCCAGTCTATAGACACTATCATATAGTTAACCAGTCTAAAGACACTAGAATATAGTTAACCAGTCTATAGACAGAAGTATATTGTTATCCAGTCTATAGACACTAGAATATTGTTATCCAGTCTATAGACACTAGAATATATATATAGTTAACCAGTCTATAGACACTATCATATAGTTAACCAGTCTATAGACACTAGAATATTGTTAACCAGTCTATAGACACAAGTATATTGTTATCCAGTCTATAGACACTAGAATATTGTTAACCAGTGTATAGACACTAGAATATTGTTAACCGTTAACCAGTCTAAAGGCACTAAAATATTGTTAACCAGACTGTATGTACATGTAGATATAAACTAATGTTACACGGTCTGCATCTGATGAATAGAAGGCTTTAGATTTCCAATTATCTACATGGACTGTTTTATTGAACTACAGGTCAGTTACTTATTACTGAATCCATCTGATTGAAATATTGATGTGGTATAACTCTAAATAAATCTCCCTTCAGCTGAAATTGCTTTTTTTATTTACTGTCATTCACTGACTAAGATCATGCAAATGAAATAAATCCTTGAATCATACATAGACAGTAATTCTAACTCCACACAATGTTTGATGTTTCAATGGAAAGAATAATTTTTTTATTTCACAAAATCAAGTCTGAATTTAAATTAGTAAATTTGAGATTTCATAAAAGCCGTAAGGGAATATAGAATGCCTTTAAATATTAATGATAAAATACGACTCTTATAGTTAGATATAAAATAAAATTTATCCACAAGCATTTTAAAACAAGACCAATATAGAATAACATTTGAGAAAATGATTAATTCAAAAGCCTTGTCTTAATTACAAGAGTTTGTACAGAAGAAGTCTAAGGCCAAAGAAAACAATTAAGAACATTAATCTAACTATAAATATCAAGAAGTCAATTTGTATGACACACATGGAAATAAATTCTAGCAAGAAAATTGATAACACCAATAGATGCTTTATGATTACAACAGAAGCATAACCCTTAATAGTCTGCTGGCACCTACAGAAACGTATGTGATCTAGTACAAACCAAGATCATCTGACACATCATTCTTTGCTGTCTGATCATGGTGTGCACTGTTGCTATTCAGTGAGTACTGCCACATATTTAAACCTTGTCAAGGCTGAAAGATGGACAAGTCCATTTCAGATGTTTATTGTTAGAAGGGTTAAATCATGGACATATTTTATGATGAGGAAAATCTATTTTAGTCTTTGTGACCTTGACAAAATCAACCTGACATGCCCATCCACACCAAATATCTAAGATGTCAGTCAATTTAACTAGAAATGATGTGTCCAAGGTGACTTAAGCCCCAAATTCATTTGCAAGTCACAATGGCATACCCGGTATTCACATACTAGATAATATGCATATTTTATAAAGATTAAGTATTATATTAATAAGGAATGCATATTATATTAAGTATTACAGCTAATACATGCAAGTTTCTCAATGGAAAATCTAGTGAATGGTTAGACAAAGATATCATATCAAGTGTCATTGTGACCTTGACCTATGACCTAATGACGTAAAATTAACAACTTATTATGTACAATGTACCTAAAAAGTGTTGTTAACTTAGACTAAATATTTTTCAAGTTAATGAGAAGACAAGGGATTTACAGTGTCACTGTGACCTTGACCTTTGACCTTATTACCTTAAAACATTAATAGGACTGGTAGCATCTACTAGCCATGGTTTATGTCCCTACTTTCATTCACCAGCTTGGGTTTATTTCTTCTAAAGTTACTAGACAGACAAGGAATTTTCACAAAGTGTCACTGTGATATTGACCTTTTGACCTAGTGACCTCAATAGGGGTTATTGACTTAAACCACAGGCAGAAAGGACATGCCAGATACCATTATTTTGCCACTTCAAAACATTTTTGCACCAAAACAATAATTTTCTATTCAAACGTTTTTTATTTTGGGTATAGTTTATATTTCACCTTTTAACCAGCTTCTGCAACCTTTAGTAGACGGTAAAACCTATTTATCTGGCTTGCCAAGTTCAATAGCATATTTTCCAAGACAAACTTTATCATTTCCTAGAAAAGCACAAGAAAATTGGGAAAAAAAATCGGGAAATAATTTGATCTTTTGCAATTTGAAAAACTCATAAAGAACATGTCTCCAGGTCAGAATAACAGTTCTCAAACCTCAGCTGTGCATAGTTTAATAATACATTAAAACAAACGTTTGTGTTTCAATACTACTCTATTTCTAAAGATAACTGAGGTATAATGGCAGTGTAATGTGAAGAACTCTCAAAGTGGAACTTATGAATTAATAAAGCTAGCTTATTGGTTTATTTATAAATATAGAAACCTGTTTTTATTTGTCTTGAGAAAAACAAAAGCTTTCAGGTTATCAAAGTTACTACAGGCATGCCTTATGGACATATTTGTTCGAAACATTAGTCTGTCATATGTTTTTATATTTCTTAATTATAAGTTAAAATGGCCCCGTATGAATAAAAATATAAACAAAGTTTATGGTGATAACACATCCTGTAGTTCAAGATAAAATGTTGTTTAAAGGTATATTTAAAACATGCCATGATGCTGTTTTATGTTACAAATCAATTACGATCAATTTGTAAATCATCATTAATGCTACAGTTTTAACAACTTCAAATTTTTACTGTGATGTAGAAATTATATGTGAATTTACTTTATGTGAATATGATTCAAAACTATTAAGTCTTCAATGGAACTTCAAAGATTCAGCGTGATATAAGCTTATAAATACAAGATGAATCAAGATATCAAGCTATTTTTGTGTGAAGCACGTCAAATTATCAGACATATGCACTCTACATTTCCAGAAATAAGAAGACATGATATGAAGAGCTTCTTCACCTGCATTGTAAAACATTATATCATGTAAGCTTGTAACATTTTGTATAACGAAAACATTATTCGATGAAAATGTTGGTCTAAAAACATTTAATACTCATCTGCTTATGTTACAGCATCAGGCCGAGTTGTTAACGCATCGGACAAGTGATCTAAAGATTGCTGGCGGATCGTGTAGGTTCAAACCCCGTCAGTGGCAAGCCCTTGTTACCTTGAGCAAGAAACTTTGCACTCATTGCTCAGTACTGGTTGGTTCCAGGAACAGATTCGCGAATGTTTCAATAAGCTTATTATAAAGCTTCCAACACATAATCAAACTAAAATAAATTTCTTTAAACTAATAGTAATACTCATCTGTTAAAAATTCTAGGTAAAAAAGGGGCAAAACTCCAAAATTATTGCTTTCAGAATTGATTCCTCTTAATTGAACTAAAGATTAACAACTTGAACAAATTGTGTAGACTGTACTAATTAATTTATTTCTACTTCAAATATTAATGACCTGAGTTGATATGTCAAAGTGAAATGTCATGGTAAAAATCAATCAAATTATTGTTTGTTACAAAGATCAACTGTTACAGAGTTTAATTTTTACTATTGATTTTTTTCTGAATTTCTAATAAAAAGTAAAAAGAGATAATTATAAAACACTAAATTCGCTGCCGATTTATTATAATGTCTGTATTTAATATTGTTATAATAGTTACATTTTATTAAAACACAGATAATTAACAAATGGTTATTTTCAATGCAGACTCACAGAAAGAATGATAATATTCAAAATTTTGTCTTTTGAAATCTAAAATCTAAATGTTATAAAATTGGTCATATTCAATGGAAGTTTTCATTACAAGAATTTGTATCATACAGATTTGAGGGCAAATTAGTGATGGGATCAGAGATCTTGCTAGTGGTTATTCTAACTTAACAGGGATTAAAGGCCTTTAATTATTAAGCCTCAATCTTGATTTTGGGAAAAATTATCGCTAAAAATTGCTAATCTGAGAAATAAAAAAGCTGGTGTAATTTCAGATTTTTGGGAAAACTGCATGATTTTAAAGAAAATTTTGATTGGGAAAACTGGCCTTTGTTATATTTATAAGGTGGAAAATCACTGCTTTGCTGGATTGCTCAGTCAACCGTACTGTAGATTATTCTGACCTTGGAAAATCATTCATCTTGTGATATTTATTTATCTACCTACCTACATTACATAACAAATACAATATCATTATTTATCTATCAGATCCTTGGCAAGCTTCTATAAATATTTTAATTAGACAATAAAATACAAATGTATATCTATATATGGAAATGCTAATGTGATTTTAAAGCATTATAAAGGACTGTGGTCGGCATTTCTATTTGGAGATTGCATTTTTGTTGCAGCAATTCACAAATCCCATCTGTTCAGGCAGTCACTAAGGCATAAAATAGCTGATATTAATAGAGATATTTGTTCAAATGATTAGTAATGTATATAACAACTAAAAACAGAAGATTTACGATATATAAACTAGATACTCTTTATTTTTGTACAGAAAATTTTGAATGGATAGCAATAAAATTGTTCAACAGCTGACAATTTTCAATCTTATCCTATATTTCGTCCAATAATTGTTATAAATGAAATAACACTTAATTTAATATTCTGTTAAAACTTCTCAATAACCGTAGTGTGATAAATTATGTATAGAGGTTTATACTTTATGATTATTACAGAATATGAATATGTGAGAATTGGGCTGTTACGAGCAGTTGAGTTTTTTGTTAGGGAATGAGTTGTATCATTCATGTGCATTAAATAATGGGAGATATTGTTTTCTAAAACACTGCAGAGATGATCATAAGAATTTTAAAACAATATGATTTGAACAGTTTTAGAAATTTTACGCATTATGACTTTTACTATAATTAAACTTGGACCTGTTACGTTTTGTTTTCTGCTGATACACCTAAGCATGTTTGAATCCTGCCAGGGACTTTCCATTCTTTCATACTATCTAGCTAGCTTACAGGACATTGGTGGTTGAACTCAGATGCCTGTTCATCCCCAAAATAATGCATGGACTGGCACCTGAGGTCTTCCTCCATCTGCAAAGGTGGAAAACTGCCATGAACTTTCCTGTATTGGAACCACATAAAACCCAACAAAAAAGAACCAAAGACAAGAAGATTTTTAAGTATTTACTATATGTACATAGTGAAAATCAATGACCCCCGGGGCGGGGCAAATTTTGACCCCAGGGCTATAATTTGAACAATCTTGGTAGAGGTTTACTACGCAAAGTCTCATGCCAAATATTTAACCTCTAGCCTTTGTCAATTCAGAAAAGAAGATTTTTCAAGTTTTTACTTTATACATATAAGGAAAACTGAGTATCGCCTTTGGGCAGGGCAATTTTAAACTAGGGGCATGATTTAAACAACTTTGGTAGAGGACCCATAGATGATATTATATACCAAATATCAAAGCTCTAAGCCTTGTTCCTTCAGACAATAAGATTTTTTAATTATTTACTGTATGTATATAGTGAAAATCAATGACCCCCGGGGTGGGGCCAATTTTGATTCCAGGGATATAATTTATAAAGTCTTGCTAGAGGTTCACTACACAATGTTTCATGCAAAATATCTAACCTCTAGCATTTGTCAATTTCGAGAAGATAATTTTTTAAAGTTTTTACTCAACATATATAACAGGAAAACCTATGACCCCCGGGGCGCGGCTAACTTTGACACTTGAGGTAAATTTGAACAACTCCGGTAAGAGTACCAATAAATGATATCATATACCAAATATCAAACCTCTAAGCTATGTACCTTCAGACAAGAAGGTATTTTAAGTTTTTACTATATGTACATAACGTGAAAATCAATGACCCCCGGGTTGGGGCCAATTTTGACCCAAGGGCTATAATTTGAACAATCTTGGTAGAGGTCTACCAGACAATGCCGTATGCAAAATATCTAAGCTCTAGGCCTTTTGGGTCTTTACAAGAAGATATTTTATATTTATTCTTGTAATTTCTTTTGGTTGCCATGGCAACCAGATTTCTGCATGGAATGAAATTCTTTGAACAACTTTGGAAGCCCTTCACCCAAGGATCAATCCTGCCAAGTTTGGTTGAAATTGGACTAGTGGTTTTTCACAAGAAGATTTTTAAGTTCACTTATAACACACAAACATACATACAAACACACACACACATATAGGTGAATCGCTATATGCCACCGCATCACAGATGCTGCCGTGGCATAAAAAGCTACTAAGCTTCAAGAACCACTGTAAATGATAGAACTATACATACTTCTTGCTTTATGGGGTTTCTTGGACGTAGGTTGCCATCTTACTTCTGTCATGTCTGGGTTAAGAGAGAAGATTCTGTGATATTGCCGACTGTTTGAACGTACTTTTATCAATTCACTTCCTGCTTCCATATATGACAAACAGTCTTGAGCTGAAATGTAATGAAAACAATAAATATATTTTATTTACATTTACATATCTGCCAGATTGGTTGCCATGTTTACACATTAAACCTGGCCATTGTTGACAGTAACTCAAATACCAACAAGTACCCTGAATTTGTGTACAACCAAGTACCCTGAACTGGTGTACAGACATGTACTAGTACCCTGAACTTTTGTACGACAAGTGCACCGAACTGGTGTACAGACAAATGCACTAAATTTGTGTTCAAACAAGTGCATTTAAATGGTGTACAGAAAAATACACACCAAGTCAGAATTTTAGTGAAGTACTATTAATCCTTTGAAAGGTTACAAAATTAATACATTTTTTCATTCTTTTTTCCAGGAGTTTTTTTTAATAAAGATATATAACTTTCAAGAAGAACTACATTATGTAACAACCTAAAGCATTGTCTATTAATTTCCTTGATATTGACATGATTAGCCCAACAGGGTTAGCTTTGGATTTGTCATGCAGGGGCCTGGATGATTCAGGTTCCATCCTTGGGTGAGACTTAACATGACAACTGATTGGACTGGACATTGGGTCACATGGTCATTACTGTGTCTCTCTCCAATGGTTAAAGCTGAACGTCCACAGATAAGCCAAAATATGACAAGAAATTCAAACTTGAGAAAAATGTACTTAATTTCTTTAAGAAAAGTACAAAGAGTCAAGATTCAAATAATAATTTTCATATTGTGTGCGATTAATGACTGATTTTGCAGTATTCATCACCGTGTTTATACTTAGTGACTTATACAGTAAGGGTTATTTTAACAACATTTGACCTCTTGTTTTGGTAATTTACGTGGACCTCTAAGTGCCTTTTGCAGTATTACATATAAATTATTTTCTTTTTTCACTTCACATTATTACACTTTTAAATACATTTTAAAAATTTTCATAAAAATTAACATGAATCTGAAGGCATGCTGCGTTTTAAGAAATCATAGTGGTTTGTCACTTGGGGAGAAATTGGTTAGTACTCGTTAGTTATAATCCAGGATAGCTGGTTAAGAGGACTAAATAGCCGATATGACTGAAAATGAGCTAAAATTGAAGTTAAAACAAGAGTTACAAATATCACCACAAACACATGAACTTTGATTATCAAATGTTTGAATGCTCAGTTATCTATTCTGTACAACTTTTTTTTGTTGAGAAGGAACAAAAGTACTGTTGAATAACATAACAATTTTTGTAAATGTTTTTCACTGATAACTGCAACAACTCCAGGAAATCAACCTTGCGCTGAATATTCAAGAGTTTTCTAAAAATAGAAACCGCAATGTACAAAAAACATCATTCTAAAATACACAAACATTCCCGAAGTCTTTGAAGTATGATCTAAATATATCACAGAGGTAAATTGAGTGGAACCACTATTTGTTTTTTTCTTCTGACTGCTCTACCACAGGAAAGATTATGATTTATTTGTACAGGGAAAATACATTATCATCGTGAACACTTTGATAGCTGTTGGCAATTGACAGATAAATGCATGATATCTGAACGTTGGTGGCGATCATCCAATAGTTTGAGAAATTTCCTCAATTATATTCCGATATATTTCAATTTATTATTAAAACATTGGCCATGACTGAATTTTGCTCACATGTTAATTCTTGGGTTTAAACAACGTAACCAAAAAGGTTACTTGTAAGTTTTACTGATGAATTTCAGAAGGACTGTGATATGATTTTAATTTATTTTAATAGGCAGCTGAGTAACAGTCTGCAAACTCTCTTTATTTAATAAGTCTATATATACAGTCATATTTTATATACATGTAGTTCAAAAATATCACTTTAAATCTTTCTTTCCACTGGTGTAATGTTAAGACTGGGCTATTAACCAAATGTTAAGAGAATCATGATAAATGTTATTATTTACATTAATTTTCAATTAGTTACCAATAAACATATTTAAATTTATGCTTTAACCAGTTGAATATGTATGATGAATTTGCCCCGCTTTGAATTCCGAAGAGTCCATTAGAAGTGGCTCTTTATTTGTGCTATCTGTTTGTCAGTTTTAAATCGCCCTGACACTCAAAGTCATACATTTTCATAGCAAAAATTTCAGTTTATCTACAAAGACTACAAATATGCCTCCCAATGCTGATTACCTAACCACCACATAGTATTACATGTACCTTCCACAAGCTAGCTGAATATTGTTCAAATTAAAGTGTCATACATTTTTATAGCAACAATTTCAGTTTTATTAGTGAAGAAAGACTTTAGATGCCAACATATACATTGTTTTAGGCTGAGTTTACCATTTAGCATTATGTTGTTCAAATGTACATGAGATTATTTTTGTATGGTTCTTTAATTATTTACCTTGCTTATAGGACGAACTTTCTGTAAATACCTATGCAATTATGTGTACACTGTCTTTTTTTTCCTTTGATCAATTCCCATTGTTTTTCTTTGCTGTCCTCATATTGCTTTCTCCTAGGGTACAATGATTGGTTTATAACATGACCGCTACTTTCCAATTATGTGAGAAACCAATCAGAGAAAATCATCCGAGTTTCGGACACAATTTTCATTCAGACCAGGACAACATTCTGTCCTGTAAGTGTATTTACAAAGTCTCCAACAAATCTATCTCAAGTTTGGCTTTGATTAATTGCTTGTTACCAACAGAGGTCAGATAGTAACCTTTATTCCCCCCATATCTTACAATATAGTATAAAACTGATCAGATCTATGACATTTTAGGAAGATGATCTTACAATACATTTATACTGACATCATAAAAACACAGTAGTTTATAACTTGACTGATTGACCTTTCAAAAGTCAGTGAAGTCTTATTAACATAACTCTAGAATTAATTATTTGAACCAGTTCACGTTCCAATTGACCTATATGTAAAAGGTTACAATTGCATACAAATTTAGAAGCAGTATCACTTGAATAGCATTATATAATTACATTAACAGCCCAGATGACTTGAATTTCTTGTATAGATATGAACATTGTAACAATGTAAATTTACTGAACACTATTATGATGTAATAACACTAAATATGCTTGCAGCAACAGAATCTCACAACCAGTGAGGAAATCCATGCCGTCTGATCATGGTCTGCACTGTTTGCTATTCAGTCAATACTTAATCTGAAAGTTTCCCCCAAAAAATAACAAATGGTTTTGTCCAGATCAGAAGCACAGAACACTGCTTCATTCTATTTTTGTTTTTTCTATTTACACCAACACAGTATAGGTCATAGGCAACTTTCCAGCTTTTACATTTGGTCAAAGACCTCAGATGCACCTTTATATATTATTTCAGGCACAAATGGGCAAATGAATAGAACCACTGACATTCTGTTAGCAAGCTCAGGATAGATTTCTCACATGAAAAAAACTTGAGCCGTTGGATATCTGAGATCAATCCTACAGTAGTGACAGGCAAGAGGTTTTGCAGTCAACAACCTTAACTAATCAGCCACGGACATCCTACTGCCTGATTCAACACCTACATACATGTATTATCATCATTCTATAATTGATTGTGTATGAATGGTCAAATTTGAGTGTCCACCTATGTAATAAACATTTTGAAGACCAAACTATCATTAATACACTTTTATACATATCAATGGAGGATGCTATCCCTGTAATCATCATATAAGCCGCATCACGACAAAACCAACATAATGGGTTTGCGACCAGCATGGATCAGACCAGCCTGAGCATCCGCGCAGTCTGATCAGAATCCATGCTGTTCGCTTACAAACCCTATAACAAGTAGAGAAACTGATAGCGAACAGCATGGATCCTGCATGATGCGCAGGCTGGTCTGGATCCATGCTGGTCGCAAACCCACTATGTTGGTTTTGTCATGACGCGGCTCATATATTGAAAGGGATTATTCCATTTACACTGATGCATTAGCAACGTTACAGAAGTTGTTAGAGTGTGGTATAAGCTTTCAACATAAGTACCATTGATGTCATAGTCTATTGTTCATTATGACATCTAATATTCATACATTGGAGGCATCGATTATAAAACATGCTGTTTTTTTTCCCTGGCAACATTAGCGTCACCACGATAACCGACCACACATTCTCAGGATTAAGAGTTGACTAATTAAAAGTATACAATCGCAATGTGTGAAGCATGTATATTGTTTGATTTTATTAACCTGTCAATTCCATACTGATTATACGGTCAATGCACAGAATATATTAATATTCGATAAATGTTCGGTTAATTCCGTGAAATTTAAGCAGTAAGATGTGATTAAATTCATCTGGTTTCTATGCATCAGTTACACTGACCGTTATAGCGCAATAGGGTAAACTATGGGTATATAATTTCTAAATGTCCTATGTGTTGTAAGATCGAGACAGCGTATGTCCATACATTTTTTCTAATTTTTAACTATTTTCAATATTTTTTAAGTTTGTTCTCTCTGTTTTAATAGGTTTTGCACTTTTTTGTTTATACTATCTTTTTGTATATAACATTGTTAAAGAATTAATATTCAAAATTCATTCGGATCAATAAATGTCATTTCATTGCCGTAAAATACAATACAAAACGTGACAAGTCAGTGTTTCTTAGTTGTTTCATATCTGTGTAGAAAATTCTGAAAGCGCTTGATCATTTTCATTATAATATGCTTAAAAATAAAGAAAAAATAAGTCTAAAAATAAGTGACGTCTAAAAAAAATGTCAAAAGAAGGGATCGAACCTCGGACCTCTCATACATAAGGTAATCACTTTAATCGACTTTGCTATTGCGGATGTTACGAGAACCTACATAAAGCTAGTGGGAGTTTTCCAAACGTTAGCTATATACCCCATATTAATTCTCGTAAAATAAACGGACAAAACCGAAGTAGGATCGAATATTTAAAAGAGTGCTATAACGTATTCATAATTGACAGGTCAATAAAATCAGACTATAACTGTCACATGTATAGGATAAATATGGTATTCAAGTATTTTCATTAAATGTG